AATTCACCTCGAGCGATCTGATGCACGTGCGATCTAATAATGTACTCGTTATGCCGCACTCAAAATACTTGTCATTAGTTGGACAGTGGGCTGGGTCAAGGATAATTATACAAAAAGCTCTAAACCATTATACGGCGGTCAATTTAGTCCTAAACTTTTTAATTTGATCAATTTAGTTATAAAACTTTTGATGATTTGCCGATGTAGTCCTTCCAACTAATTTTAGTCAGCAATCGTTGAGGTGGACGCCGGCTGTCCTACATGGTACAGCCCACACTAACGTGGACATTTTTTGCAATTTTTTTCTCTTTTTTCCCTTTTTTCCTTTTTTTTTCTTTCCTTTTCCTTTTTCCTTTTTTTTCCTATCTCTGCCGGTCACTAGGGCCTCGAATATGGCGGCAGAGCTCACCGGCCAGCGAATGTCAGAGAACCCCTCACAAGCCCGTGCCCACATCTAGTGAGAGCCAGGACGCCCTCGCCCGCCATCGCCGAGTTGACAACAACCAATATAGGATAATAGAGAAGAAAGGGGGGGAGGAAAGAAAAGGATAAAGGAAAAAATATTAAAATTCAGAAAATATTTTAAAAATTTACAAAAATTGTCCACGACAGCGATTTCCGGCCTTCAGGAATAAATCGGTCAAACTAAAAGTTTGGGACTAACTAAAAGTTTATGACTGAATTGGCCGTCATACAATAAATTTAGGAATAGTCCTAACCATGATGGGGTTAGGTCATGCCTCTAATGTGCGCAAAAATATGATAGCCAAAAGGTCGTGGTGCCCAATCATTTACTGTAACTACGAATAGGGCTCAATATGACCTATATCTTCAAACAATTACATGGCTACCCATTTTTGAGCGAAAGGTGTTTTTTCAATATATATATATAGCCGTTGGGAAGTGGTTGCAACTGGTTGAAAGTAACCATCAAGGTGACTTGCGACTCCCACACCGTTAAGAAGTGCTTTTTATATTGAAATTTACTTTTTTTTAATAGAAAAATTTATTCAAAAATTAGGTTTGGAATAAAAATCAGAAGTAAAAATATTCTACTTTCTATTTCTAGAACAGAAATGAGAATTGAAAACTATTCTCATCGCTCACCCTCGCTATTAGCCGGCCACTCGCCCATCACTTGGCCGTCGGCCACCTCCCACCGCCACATCTCACCGGCCGTCGTCCATCACCGTCCGCCACCTCCCGATGCCGCCCAACGCCATCCTCCACTGCCCACCACCAACATCCATCTCCCGCCGCCATCCACCGGCCGCTCAGGAGAGAGAAATTTCGTGTCGTTATCAAACGCGTATTTTTTATCAAAAAAACTCATCTAAAGAATAAAAATAGAAAAAGCCAAAAATTGAATTCTAGAACAGAATAATTATCATTCGTATCGTTTTAGTAATCACGTACATCGATTACCAGTACATGGAAATTTAACTTCTTTCTCATGTATAGTGAAACCACTTCTTATTGTTACCTCGACATGGTCACTTTCGCAACATCAGGAGTTCACCAACCACGGTCGAATATTTAGCTCATTCGAATGATTGATACGTGAAGGAAAACTTTGTCATGTGAAAAAAAATTGTTAAAATGACGGACTACCAAGTATTTGCTAGGGTTAAATAGGGATTAAAATTATTAAATTTTATTAGACTATAGGAATGCCCGGAAATTCTTCTAGAGCCACGACCGGCGAGTGAGCTCTATGTTTAGGATGAGGAAGGGTCACGGGCAACGACTATGGTTTTATCAAATTTGTTAGCATGTGGCTATTACAATAATAAGAGGATGTGACAACTTTAGCCTAACCACATATGGGTCGAGACGTATGGCATCTGCATAGTAATCAACGATTCGATGCATGACACGTCGCCTTCGCTCGCTCGTCATCGTGAATAATTTATTTTAGGTTTTAGATGGTTTCAATGAATGGTTAGCCTCACTTGAAGACCTTATTGGTTGACTTTTCATTCCCTCCTGGCTTCATATCAAATGGGTAGAAGTGCCATTTGAACCGGGTCGATACCCCTTTTTTTCAAAGAAGAAAAAGCGGGTCGATCCCGATGAAACTAATGACCCTATTAGAAAGTCAAATTCAAAAACTTAAACTTAGAGGTATGGAAAAATCACATGTTTATGAAGAGCATATGAACCCCATTGTTAAGAGATGTGAGATTTTTCAATTGCCCAATGCAATGACTTGTTAGTTCTTATTTCGGCCCATCTTATTGCTTCACGGCACCAACACTTCGTGTAAGCGGGAAAAGTGTCAGAAAAGTCCTAAACATATTGCATTTGTGCCAATTAAGTCCTAAACATTTTGACATAGTACCAATTCAGTCATTCCGGCTTATTTTGGCCGGATATTACTGACGTGGACGTTGGAGACCTACGTGGCACGGTCGGAGCTGATGTGATTATTTTTTTAATAATATATTAATATTTTTTCAATTATTATTATCATTTTTCTTTTCTTTTCTTTTTCTTTTCTTTTTCCATTTCTTTCCTCCTTCCTCCAGCTAGCCACCAAACCTCGACGATCGGCCAAAGGTCAGGGCCAACTAGATCGACCTCACCTGCCTCTGGCTAGCCTTGCCGGATGGCCGCGAGGGCGGCCTCGAGCTAGGCCTACGAGGTCATGCCTCTCCCAGCCATGGTGAGGGCTCAAGTCTTGCCAGAGGCCAAAAGAACCGAGTCAATACTCCTTTTTTTCAAAGAAGAAAAAGGGAAAAGTGCAATCTAACCTTTGCATTAGTGCAAATTTAGTCCTAAACCTTTTTTGGTGCCAATTCAGTCCTAAACCTTTTGCATTGGTACCAATTTAGTCTTAAACCTTTTTGGTGCCAATTAAGTCCTAAACCTTTTAAATTGGTGCCAATTCAGTCCTAAACCTTTTATTTTGTGCCAATTTTGCCGGAATTTCTTGACGTGGGCGCTTTGGCGGCGTAGGCGATCGCCGAGCGTGGAAAACTTTAGTAATATTTTAATATTTTTTGAATTTTTATTTTTTTTTTTTTTTTTCTTTTTTTTTGCCTTCCCTCCTTCCTCTGGCCGGCGAGCTCGACCTCGCCGGCCACTGGCGAGGGCGGCGGCCTCACCGGGCGAGGGCGAGCCTCGCCGCGACCTCCGGCGAGGGCTCGAGCCTCGCCATGGTCGGGCGAGGCTCGACCTCTCCGGATCTGGCGAGGTCGCTGGGCGAGGCTCGAACTCGCCAGATCCGTCGAGGTCGGGCCTCACCGGATCTGGCAAGGTCGAGCCTCGCCGGCCAGAGGAAGGAGGGAAGACCAAAAAAAAAAAGTGGAAAAAAAAATTCAAAAAAATAAAAATTCAAAAAAATATTAAAATATTACTAAAGTTTTCCACGTCGGCCGGTGACCGCGCACGGCCGGCAAAGGCCCACGTCAAGCAAATTCCGGTCAAAATTGGCACAAAAATAAAAGGTTTAGGACTCGAATTGGCACCAATTTAAAAGGTTTAGGACTTAATTGGCACAAAAAAAGATTTAGGACTAAATTGGCACCAATGCAAAAGATTTAGGACTGAATTGACACCAAAAAAAGGTTTAGGACTAAATTGGCACTAATGCAAAAGGTTTATGACTTTTTTGGCACTTTTCCCAAAGAAAAAGTAGGTCGATCTGGTCAATGACCCTATTAAAAAGTCGAATCCAAAAACTTAAGCTTAGAAGTTCAAAAAAATCACATGTTTATAAAGAGCATATAAAACTCATTGTTAAGATATTAGGGATCTTCCAACAACCCAATGCGATACCTCGCTGGTTCTTAGTTCTGCCCATCTTATTGTTTCGCGGCACCAACACTTCGTGTAAGCACAATGCAAAGATTCAGTTCCCATCTTTATAATAAGTACATACAAACAATCTCGCCAATTTAATAGGTGAATTTCGGCTCTCATCTCACCCATCGATCTAGAATTTTTCGACTCGTTTCGCCATGTAAACTACCCCAACAAACGGCCGATCGCAACTCGAGAGACTTATCTTATTCCATTTAAAAGCCGGACGAGCATGGTCCAGCTGCATGAAAGTTACACACACATAAAAATAAAAACCCCGGTAGGTGTGCTCTACGCTCATTTTTGAATACATAGCTTTGACTCTTTCCCCCGTACCTCTCGATTGGTCAATTATTGAATCATATATAACAAGGTCCACCTTCACATCTTCCAATTCAATTTCATGGCGCCAAAATGAATAGTTTTTCAAATCTCGAGCGGTCATGCCACTACCCTAATGAGGACAAACACATGACCACACTCATGTCTAGGACTTGGAAAAAAAAAGCAAACAAAACACTCACGTCTAGTGTCTAGACAGTTTCCATCTAATGGTAAGTCCATGTCAAAACGAAAAGAAGGAAATAATTAGAAATGCATCTAATGAGTAAGAGACTTTCACATCGATAGGACTCGCTCGTCGAATCGCCACTTGCCCAGATTGAACTTCCTATGGAGACTAATTCCGATGTACGTAAGAAGCTCGAGCATCACCACTCTAAGCCCCTCGAGCCTAAGTCATCACCACCAGCACCATCCTCATTCCACGATTCAAATCAATTTGAAACCATCAAATTCAAAAGGCACGGTCTCAATCTAGGAGTTGATGGAATCAACGGGAATTCATGCAAAATTGGGAAGACACAAATTCTAAATCCTCTCTCATTCAATGCTTGGCTTTGCCCAATCAAAGACCGTGTCACGAGATACGTTTACGTTGATTTCCTCAAAGCAGCAAAAAGTAGCCGGGCCGGTGCACGACACACCACGCCAAGTCCCAACATCATCAACCGCATAAAACGACACGCGAATTCATGTCATCTATGCTTTCGAACTGCCCACCCGGAAATCAAAAGTTTGAGCCGTTTCAAAGATCCCAATCGAAACTCCCCCCCGCCATTTGCTGCTCTGCCTCTACATGCATTTGCCCCATCGAGTCATGACGAAATGATGAAGAATGCGACGAGGGAAACGAATTTAGCAAAAATTGATATCGAAATGTTGAAATTTGGAGCTATAAAGAAAAAAATAGTACAAAGAGAATCCTGTGACTTCCCTAAAGACATCCTAGCATGACTGCCCCTACCGCTACCTGCCGTCGTCGATCCTAGCGATGCCCGAACCGGGCTGGGCATCCGGTCCGGTTCGACCCCAATTCCTACCAGTTCCCGGGGGGGCCCGGGAAGAAACCCCCGACCCGTCAAAAACTGGGCACGGCCCGACCGGGCTCGGGCTGACCCGGCAGCGTCGACTCCTTCTTGTGCCTCATCTCCAGCACCTTGCGGTGGTGGTTTGAGTGCAGCTCGCTGCAAAACGTGGGGCTACACGCGGGCCGGTACTCCGGGTACAGCCGGCCCGACTTGAACCGGACTCCGCACGCGTTGCACAGGGTCTTCGCCCCGTTGGGGCCGGCCCTCCACTGTGGGGTCTTCTGCACGCCGCAGTGGCTGCACCGTCTCGCCGGCCCGGCCGTCTCCGAAGCAGCAGCGGCGGCGGGCTTCTTGTGCTTCTTCATCGGCGGCTTGGCGTCCCAAGGCTCCGGTTCGGCCGGCTCGAGGCTGCGGCTCCGGTTCAGGTGCACAAACCAGGGGCTCGCGAGCAGGGGCGACGACGACGCCGTGGTCGAGGACGAAGAGCTCGAGGACGGCTCGGCGAGAGAAGGAACGCCCAGGGACCATACCCGGCCGCCGGTCCGGGGCCGCTTGCTCCGGGCTTTCGAGGGCAGCGGGGTAGTGAACCCGGGTCTGGACGAGCCGGAAGATTCCGATTCCGGTTCGGACCGATCGCCGCCGTTCATGGGGTGGTTCTGGAGCAGGACGGCGGCGGGGAGCGGTTCGGAGAAGTGCGAGAACGAGTCCTCCACGAAATGCGACAGCCACTCGAGGTCCGCCAAATCCTCGGCCTGTAAAAATCGCACCTTTCGGTCAGCCGGAAAAAAAGAACCGATTTTTTCGCTAACGGAGGAGGTTACTCATTACAGTACCGGAAGGTGCGGCACGAGCCCCAAATCGTCCTTCTCTCCGGCCGAGACGGACGCAACGTTCTCCTCGTCGTCGTCGTCGCCGTCGCCGTCGTCGCCGTCGCCGTCGCCGTCGTGGCGGGGTTCCCGCCTCTGCTGCAGCGGCACCTGGTCGCGGCCCGCCTCTTCCACCCTCCCTTGTTCCTCCTGCTCGGCGCAGAAGGCCTCGTCGTTGGAGAAGTCGAAGAGGTCGTCCACGAAGTCGTCGCCGTCGCCGCCGCCGTCGCAGGGGGCGCCGGCGCCGTGGTGGGAATTGAGGGGGAGGAGGTCGTCGGAGAATGAGGCGTGGTGGGGCCTGACAAGCTTCGCGAGCACGGCGTCCTTCCGGAGCCCGGCCATCAGAGCGGCGTCGACGCACTCCATCCCCGGGGCCCCGAAACCCGTCGCGCGAAGGAGACGACAAAGAAAACTCACCCTTCAAAAGAAGAGATAGAGAGAGAGATAGAGAGAGAAGGGAAGGGGAAGGGGGGGGGAGTTCGGTGAAGCATTCAACGGGGGAGGGGGAGGAGGAGGAGGTATTTAAGACGGCCCGTTTCTTTCTCTCTGTCTCTGTCTCTGTCTCTAAGGAATGGGGAATGGGGAATGGGGATTTTCTTTTTGTTATTTCGCCATTTTGGACACGCTCTTGCATGAATCTTTTTGCGCTGTCTTTCTGCATTTACTCCCCAGAATAATTTCTCCCGTTCCGTTACCTATCAAGACAGCAATGGAAGAGAGAGAGGGGGAAGTTTTTTTTTAGGCAAATGAAACGTTCGGTTTTCGACAAGATATATGATTCTGTCCTCCTCTCCCTTTTTCTTTTCTCTCTTTTTTTTTCTCCTTTGAAAAATCACCCCCCTCGCTCTGTTTTCGGAACGCTTTCTGACGTGGGTGGGGGGGTAGAAAAACGAAGAAAAAGGGCAAAAAAGGGGGAGGAAAAAAAGGGAATGAATTTTTTATTTTATTTTTTTTTGGGAAAAAAACGGGGGGGAATTGCCGCCGGATATCTGAGAAGGCTAATCATGCGGGGTTGGTCCGGTCCGGTCCTGTCCGGCCTACCAACATAAAGTTGAGGAAAAAGAAAAAATTGGAAAATTGGAGTGACTTCGTGACTATCTAAAGAAAGGCAAGCAGAGGCCACTTTTTCAACAAAAAAAAAAATTTCGTTTTTTTCATTTTTTTTTCCCAATGCCCTTCGCCTTTTTGCGTTTTTTACACTTCTTCTTTTTTATCCTCTTCTTTTTGTGTGTATGGGGGAAAATCATAGCTTTTGACTAAAATTTCACAAGATAAGGGGGGGGGAGGAGGGAGGGGCCTCCTCATCTCGCATCGATTTGCCGCTCGTTTTGGACGTTGTCCCCCGCTATTCCCGCTCTGCTGTCCTCCTCCTCCTCGATCGTTATTTGTGTTTTTTGTTCTAATTCAAACTTAAGATCGAAAAATTCAAAAAACTCGGTTTCGTCATCTTCTTCTCCTTCTTCTTCCTTTTTTCTCGCTTTTCACCCCCTCGAGAAAAAAGTTCGTCTCATTTTTAGCCTTCGATTTCACCGAATTTCTTTGCATTTCGTCCCTCTAGAGTCCGAGATTTTTGTAGGGATTTGCTTATCTCGCCGGTGGCCATCCCACTCGATGGGAAACTTCGCGGCCACCGCCGCCACCGCTTGCGCACTCGATTTTGGTGGACCTTGTTGATTTTGCAGGTTGGATGAGATATGATACATCCGGACCAAAAGATTTGTCTCGATGATTATGACATTCGGATCTGACCCGACAATGGACCTTCGATCGAATTGGAAACGCAAACGAGAGGATATCTTCTAGCGATATTTAGGATGTTTTCCTCTTAATTTTCGTATCTCTTTCGATTATGTATATCCGAATTGATTTCCTAAGATAGTCATCTACTTTCCATATCTCTTGTTGTTATCTTGCAATTTTCAAGTTGGTTATTAAAACACACGCGGCTAGTGTCATTCAGTTACTGTTTTTAAAGTGAAGCCAGCCGCTTTTGGCTGATATTAAGTGTGGAAATATATTTATTGGGGCTTGAAATCAACTCCGTTACCAACTGAGATTTTATGTGGTCATTGCCAACTTTCCTAAAGGTTTAACCTATTAGATGAATGCGTAAAATATTTATAGATAAACGATTAAGCGACAGTCCTTAATTTACAGTGAGATTAACAGCATGTTCTGAACCGCAAGAAAATAAATAACGAATTTTTATAAGTTGTCGTATGGTCACTTCTTCAAGAATTTATAACTCACGACATGATATTACTCTCACCGTCGCCCAAAATAAATCTATCCCCACAGCTCGACAATGTTAATCTGAGAGCGTCATTCCTGTCTGAGTAAGCGCCATGGTTATCTTATGATGCAAGTTAAGCTTTTCTTTTTTCACGGAGGTATTTTTTAACGACGCATCTTTGCACGATAGCTTTTGCTTAGCAAAGCCCAGTTTATTCCACTTACTGTAGCCACACTAGTCGTATCAGTTGCGTTTGTTTAGTTATCATTTTAATAGCAAAGTCAACCGCAAAAGGACGCATGTTGTTGGCCTCCAATTCTCAACTTTTCACTTCTCGTTTGGAGAAGCTGACAACACCACCGAACTTGTTGCTGTTAGACAATCAACATATTGAAATCTCGTCATCAATGGAAGGTTGAAGCCACCACACACACCCTACGCACAGCCGCACCACCGATCCACCATGCTCGATGCTATGCGGTGCTAGTTTTGACCATTTATGCTGTCTAATTTCCTGGCGATCGGAGATTTCGTTTCGACTCACCTTAAGTTTGATTTTTCATATCCTTTTTGATTGTACATATATGAGTTGATTTCCTTAGACAGTCAATCATCTAATAAAACCTATAAATTCATGTACTCTTTTCTATATACATATCGAAGTATACGGAAATTTCTCAAATATGTTTTCCGCATTAATCTCAACTATACAGATATTACGACCAAAAGTAAGGAGAATGTGTGGTTTAACGTATAAATATTCTATCAAGAAAGAACACGACAATATGATAGAAAATCAAAGATAATTATTGGAACAAGGTAGCTACATGGCCATGAAAGATTCACGATCAATTCAAGTGTAGCGACTCCCAATGTTCTTTCTCGTGTTTTTTTTCTAAGTGCGAAAGTTCTATTTTTGAAAAACGAACGACGCGTTGATTTTTTTAAATGAATCATTCGGTATTGATCAAATTCTATAATCAGAGCTCAAATATTCTCCATAATTTTTTACGCAATGCAAATAATAGTCGCTAATCGACATAACTCAAGACTCTTAAGCCTCGACATCGGTTTAAACCTCAAAAAAATTCGAAGTGACAACAATGGAATCAACATAGAAAGTTCGGGGGAAAATTGTCAAATCAGTCCTAAACCTATTGTACGGCGGCCAATTCAGTCCTAAAACCTTTTAATTTTGTCAATTCAGTCCTAAACCTTTCTAATTCTTGCCAATTCAGTCCTTCCGGCCGGCGTTGACGTGGCAATTTTTGGGTATTTTTTTTAATTTTTTAATCTTTTTTTTCTTTTTCTTTTTCTTTTTTTCTGATTTCTTCCTCTGGCCAGTCCGGCGACCGGCGGCCGGCCAGAGGGGAGGGCCGGCGAGGTCAACCTCGCCGGCCTCGTCTTTGCTGAGGCGAGGCCGACCTCGCCGGCCCTCCCCTCTGGCCGGCCGCCGATCGCCGGTTGCCGCACCGACCAGATGAAGAAATAAAAAAAAAAGATTAAAAAAGATTAAAAAATTGAAATAAAAAATTGCCACGTCAGCGTTGGCCGGACGACCGGCGCCAGGCGGCCACGCCAGCGTTGGCCGCGCTGGCCGGCCAAAATTGGCCGGAAAAACTGAATTGGCAAGAATTAGAAAGGTTTAGGACTGAATTGGCAAAATTAAAAGGTTTAGGACTGAATTGGCCGTCGTACAATAGGTTTAGGACTGATTTGACAATTTT